TCCTGCTCCACCCAGAGGCCACTCCACCTCTGCTGCTGTGACCTGAAGGGCTGTTGCTGATTATTACTGTTGTTAGCTTTTTTGAATGATCAATTTTATTTCTTGTTTTTGCTGCTACTTAACACCTGAATTTCTCCGACGGGGCGCAATAAAGTATATATCTATCTTATCTACTGTGTGTATGCAGTGTGTGTTACAGCAGACAGACAGTAGAACATGGGCTACCTCTTATGTTGGGGACACACTGTATTTACACGCAAACATATCAAATCCAAGCTACTACACAATTCTCAAAGCACCGGCCCCTCTCTGACCCTCCTGCAGGTGGAGAGTACACAGGAGGATGGTGATGAAGACCGTGATGACAGCTTGGGGTTCAGTGTCTTCCCCAGGGACACAACGACAGACTCCAGTGTGAGTAGGAGAGACATGAGTGGTGGGGGATTGAACCCATGACCATCAGGTTCAAACACCAATGATAGATAATATAAACAGTTTCCATAGTCATTTTCTAGATTTTGTTTTTCTTATCTACTTATGAGGATCAAAGAATAATGTAAATAAATCAAAACAGTTATTACAAATATTCACATGATTTTAAAACTGACTGCAAATATCTAGATTTTTTTTTGACATTTTGCAATAATCAGAGATACACACATTGCAAACAGACGCATGACGTTGACAAGATGTTTCTATAGTCAACCTTCAATAAATGGAATGGAGCTTTAATGTTGTATTTATATAAAGTGGGGCAGAGAGCATTAGATTATGGGGAGGAGAGTATCGTTACAGAATCGTACCTTGTCCAACACATATCGTATCAAATTGAATCAAAGTAAAAATGCCTGGTCTCTTGGCTAGTGTAGTATGGATTGAATACATTAATACCCAGTCCTAGTTATACAAATTATGTATTTATTTTGTTTGTAAGGATTGTGTTTCTGCTGCTGGACACCTGCATTTCTCCAACAGGTGTCAATAAAGTATCTATCTATCTATCTATCTATCTAGTATCCTGATGAAGTCAGTATTTTCACTGGACCCCGTGGCGTTCGTGCATTGGCTCTGAATACGTCTCAAACTGAAGTTAAAGTCAGTGTGTGTAAATGTTCTCACCTGATGAATGAATGGCTCCAGAGACACGCCCCCTCTCTGAGCCCCGCCCACAGACCCTCCCGGCAGTTTGGATTGGTCCATGTTGTGGCAGTGAGGGAGGCACATGGCTCCTGACACTCGCGCCACGCCTCCTGCAGTAAAGCACCATGGGAAATATCAGTACATGAACACTTGTAAGCAATCTTTATTTAATACAGCACTTTTCAAAGATGCTTCGTGAGACTAACACGCACACAAAACAGTAACAGAGGAGTGAGTGTTGAGGGCTAGTCTTGGGGGAAAAGGTGTTATTAGCAGTTTTGTGAAGGTGTTAAGTGACTGATGTGTGAGAGAGTTTTCCAGTGAGCGGGAACACTCGGTGCTTAGATCCTGAGTGGGAGTGAGGAGATGACGGAGAGTGACTGAGAACATGTGCTGCTCACCTTGTGCATGGGCTCTGCTGAGCAGTGAGGGGGAGGGGGGCTGCTGGGAGCGCACGCCGGCCCCAGGGGGAGGCGGCGCCAGACCGGAAACCCACCGCACAAATCCTCCAATCAGAGCACTCCAATCCACTGTCGGCCAATCAGAGCGCTCCAATTCAGTGTCGACCAATTACTGAACTCCGATCCTCCTCTGACCACTCAAATCGCCCCCATTCAATGTCGTTTCATGCCATGAATAAAGACCGGAGGTTCCTATGGAAAAAAAAAAAACTTTCAAAAGTTTGGCCTCGAAATACTACCGAGTATTACTGTAGTTCCGATTCAAACTTTTTCAGACACACAAACTCAGTGCAGCTCGGGAAGAACAAACAGAGTAACGCCATGTTGTTTGTACAGCTGTTCTGTTCTTACAGTAGGCCTGTCCTTCACAGGCTCTGATTGGCCAGATTATCAAATTATAATACTTTACACCAGCTGCTGTGGCGGCTTCTGGCGGCTATAGTCGTTTGAAGTTACACTTGTGAAACCATGTGTTGCTGTTTTAATTAAATAACTGAACATGAAGAGGCGCAGGGCTGTAGCATGAGGCCAAACATGTTCCAACAAAAAAGATCCAATGCCCTTCGCTCTGAAGGCCCAGACTGAGACCCGCTGCAAACTTCTCACTGAACTGAAGGACTGCTGTCCTGCACTGTCGAGGTCGCAGTCAGTGTGAGCGACAGGAGGCATTCTGTCTGTCCAACGGCCTGTCCAACGGCCTGTACAACGGCCTGTACAACGGCCTGTCCAACGGCCTGTACAACGGCCTGTCCAACGGCCTGTCCAACGGCCTGTCCAACGGCCTGTCCAACGGCCTGTCCAACGGTCTGGCCAACGGCCTGGCCAACGGCCTGTCCAACAGCCTGTCCAACGGCCTGTATAACGGCCTGTATAACGGCCTGTACAACGGTCTGTCCAACGGTCTGTCCAACGGTCTGTCCAACGGCCTGTCCAACGGCCTGTCCAACGGCCTGTCCAACGGCCTGTCCAACAGCCTGTCCAACGGCCTGTATAACGGCCTGTCCAACGGCCTGTCCAACGGCCTGTCCAACGGTCTGTCCGACAGGTTTTCTTGTTTTGATGCAGGGGTTCTCTGATGTCGCAGATGTCAGTCACTGAACACAACAGCACATTCTATAAATAGACTTCAACAGGAAACATCAGGCCAGCTCTGCCTCAGTCTAATCTTATCAGTCAAACCAGACACAATTATTTGGTTCGTCAATCACAGAAATCTCAAAATACAACAGTCAGTTACAAAAATTAGACACAACAAAAAAACAAAATACAAAACCAAAATATTGATTTGAAATCGAATCAATTCTTGTGGTTAATAACTATTAAATCAGCCTGAACACACCCTGAGACTCCAGACCACAGTCAAATCTGTCAGTAAAAGTGGAGCAGCGTCCAGAATTTGTGAATAGAAATTTCTTTTTTTGTTGTTAATTTCTATCAATACAAATTAAGGCTGTGATTAACAATAATCTTTATAATCAATTAGTTGATTATTCATTTGTTCAGTCAATGCATTAGTTATTAGATCGTGAAAGTTCAGTGAATGTGTTTTTACATACATACAACCATCTCAATATTGAATAAATCAACTCAAAAAGATTCATCTTGTCTTCGAAGTAGAATTAAAGGAATCGTTTCTTCAATGCCAGACAATATAAGGTTTTGTGATGTTATTACCTTGACATGTTCCAACGGATAACTTCCGGAGTGAGGAAGACGGAATTCGAAACATGTCAAGGTAATAAATTCACAAAACCTTATATTGTCTGGTATAGAAGAAACGATTCCTTTAACATTATTTAAGTGTTAGTTAGTCTCATCGATCACATTGAATTGAATCGTGATGGACCTTGATAGCTCAAAATATAAATTAATATGATGGATTACTCTTTTTTTTATACAGATCCCATTTCCCCATCAATTCCATGTTATGTGCTTTCTTTCCTCCACCCCACCAGAAGGATATTAATTCTGCAAACGACAGGTCCTTATTGTGGGAGACCCATATTTAACAGGGGGGCAGTGATAAGCTCTAGCAATTTGAGTTCCCATTATTTTCATATTAAAAATCAGAGTTGCAATATTATATATTTTTATTCTGATACTAAGTGTTTAATGAATGCCTATAAGTCTTCCTTAATGTGACGCCGTGGACTCCAGCCTTGAGTTTGTGCGGTCCTTGTTTACCTGTTGTCTGTGTGTGAGAGTGGCCAGCTCTGTCTTGTCCAATCAGATCAGAGCGTCGCCGAGACAAAGCCGACTCTGATTAAGCTTCTATTTCTGAAGGAGATCGGAGACAATCTCAAACAGCTTTCACTTTCACTCAGATCATTTACCCAGATACAAACCGTTTTCATGGGCTCTATGCAAAGACACATTCTGAATCATTAGAGAACATGCACTGATCCACCTCCGTATGATCCCGACATGGTTTTGGTTTTTCATTTAAATAAGGTTCATTCAATTTAAACTGAGGTGGCAATGATGCAAAATACTATTATACTTATATTATGTTTTTAAAAACTAAAAGACTTTATTTTTTATTTACCTTTATTTCACCAGGATAGCAGAATTTCTTTTTCAGGAGAGTCTTGGCCCTAGAGAGATCGGATAGGGTTTTATGGGGAACTATTGTACGTGTTTTTAGAAGTAGGTGAAACAGAGCACCTGGAGGAAACCTACACAGACACAGGGAGAACATGCAAACTCCACTGTGCCTCCAATATTAAAATCTATTGGTTGTTTATGGGACGTCACAATAAATAATGTATTAGATTTTAGTCTAGCAATCATCATGATAAGAAACAGTATCCACAACATTATTCACAAATACCGTCTCAGACCAAACAACAGCAACAAAACCTTTTTCCTCTAAAAATCTTCAAGTTGGAGCTGCTTTCTTCATAACAATCTTTAGGAGGTTTTGTTCTTAGTTTCGCTCATGAAATTCTCGTATTTTCTGGTGCTTACAGTTGAGTCGTAGAGTTGAGTCACAATCATAGATTAAAGTTCCGTAATTTTCCTAATGACTTTTTCTTTATTTAAATTTCAACAACTGATGTGTTCAATGGCTGAAAATATGCGTTCCAGTTATGTGCCACAAACCAGGTTACATTGAGCAAGAAAATGTTATACTTGTGTGTAGGGGTGCAACGGTTTGAAAAAATCACGGTTCGGTTCGTACCTCGGTTCAGAGGCCACGGTTCGGTTCATTTTTCGGTTCATTTTTCTAAAAAAAAGTTTTGTCTTTTTAATAAACACAGCTCATGTGGACTCGGCACCTGCTCTGACTGCCCCCACCTGACCTAGAAATGAATTAAGGGGAAGGAAATGGATGGATGGATGGAAGGCATATTCCATCCATCCAATTATGTCTATTTAACATAATTAATGAAAAACAACACAAAGTGCAACATAAGAAGGCACTTTATGCAGGGACGTGCGGTGAGGTTTGTGATTGGGGAGGCACTGACTTTAAAAGTCAGATTTACAATCATTATTCAAATAAAATAGCATTTAATCACCAATGCAATGACATCCACAAACTTTATATACTGTAAAGATAAGAGAACCAGCTTCTTTTAATAATCTCACAACAAATCTAGCTGCTGACTCTGCTCCGCATCAAACAACATCTTTAAGAAGCGCAGGTGCGAGAGACGCGAGGAGAGAGAGGCGAGGAGAGAGGAGCAGAGAGAGACAGAGAGGAGCAGAGAGACGGAGACGCGAGGAGCAGAGAGAGACGGAGACGCGAGGAGCAGAGAGACGGAGACGCGAGGAGCAGAGAGAGACAGAGAGGAGCAGAGAGACGGAGACGCGAGGAGCAGAGAGAGACGGAGACGCGAGGAGAGAGAGACGCGAGGAGAGAGAGACGCAAGGAGAGAGGAGCAGAGAGAGACAGAGAGGAGCAGAGAGACGGAGACGCGAGGAGCAGAGAGAGACGGAGACGCGAGGAGAAAGAGACGCGAGGAGAGAGAGACGCGAGGAACATAAACAATAATTTAAACAAGTTGCAGAACTCTTGAGCAGTGTTTGAATCAGTGTTTTTCGGAAAAGCACTACTTTGCCGGTATCTGTCAATGTTCAACATAAAACACATATTAACAAACTCCTCCCCCGCAGCCGGACTAACCTCGTAAGTCCAGTGGTGGTCTCCCAGTCTATATTAATTCTTTCTTTGTTTGAAAGTCCAATTGAGAAAAAAAATCTTCATTCAAATCATCCATTTTCCAGCAAAAGAAATAGCATTTTGGGCTGATTGTTTGTTAGCAACTCTGGTATGAACTTTATGCTCACTATCACCCCTAGCGGTGAGGCACAGATACCGCCTGCCTCACGCCAAGCTTTTTCCTTGTGTGTTCATCTACGATCAAAAGACTTAAACTAAATATAAATTGTACACACATACGTGCAATACACTACTAAACACTAAGAGGAGTTTAAAAAATGTTTTTAAAGCAGGATATTTGAAACAAACGGTGATATATCAACTGCACGAGCTGAGTGCACTCAGACACACACACACACACTGTGAGGGAGCGGTCTGGGGTGAGGCACGCAGGAGCGCTGCCTCACCTCGTCTCTTTGAATAGGAATAACGGGATTTCGGCGATTTTGACTTCAGAAATGATCAAAACTGATGGGAACTGTGCCGAATATACATTAAAAGCATAGGACAGTGGATATAAATTATATATTTAAACTAAAATAATTATTAGTTTCCAATAATGGCAGGTGAGGCTCTGCCTCCCCTGCCTCCCCTGACTGCACGTCCCTGACTTTATGAGGATATTTACCCTCATATATTACACCACCTTCCTGATTCCCCCGAGGAGGGGGTCCATTCTGGGCCCAGTCCAGCCTCATTAACTGCATTTATTTAATTTTTGGCATTATCAGTTGTGACTGGGATATTAGTACTGGGCCTTTGTCTTCCATTCCTCCGCTGCTTGTGTCAGTACCTGCGCTGTGTGACAGTGTGACTGTGTGACTGTCGTAGAGGGGGCGTGTCTGCAGCGCCAGACTTTTCATCTCCCAGTCTGCAGTGATGAAGTGAGCGGTTCCGCTCATGGATCTATTATAGGTTCCGCGGGACGTCCAAGCGTCAGTCGTGAGCGCAGCTGAGGATGCGCGGGAGAGTTGACTTTAGCCCGGTCTGACTGTGCGTAAAGGAGCTTCTTAAATGCCGCGACAATAAGCGGTCGTTGAGACGCTTTTTTCACTCATGTCTTTCTTGTGCCACAGTGCTTACACATCGTGACAGTTTTGTCGAATATTAATTATCAGTGTAGTTACAGTGAAGCCAAAATGCTCTCATACTGGGAATTTAAATGACGCGGGGCTTTCAAGCATCTCCGTTCCTCCGCTCGCAATGACCGCGCTGTGTGTGGACTGAACAACGTGCGCACAACTTTTTTTTCATAAATCAAACCGCGGATCACGTCTGTACCGAACCGAAGACGTTGAACCGAACGGATCACGGATCAGTGATGAACCGTTGCACCTCTACTTGTGTATGTTGTTTATTAGATCCTAAAAGATAACAAAGGCAAAGTAAAAGGGATCAATGACTTAAATATAACAATTCTGGATTGGGTACAAAGAAAGGATCGTTTCTGCATTTACAATAATAAAAAAAAAACAAAAAAAATATTTATATTATTATAATATTTACACCTCTTTCTGAATTTGACTCATAAAACTCTTCTCTGCTTGTTTTAGTTCATGTGCTTGGTTCATATTAACGGCTTATTAACCGAGCGTGAGGTCTGTATGGAGAAATATCAGACCGCGGCCTTAATGTACAGACCGAGCCGTGGCAAGGTTTGTGCAAAAAGGACAAGGTCTGATATTTCTCTGTACAGACCGAGCAAGCGAGGTTAATACATGTTTTATTATATGACTCTCGTCTGTGTCTTTACCAATGCTTATGAGATACATACATAGATAAGTATGTACATGTCCGACTTAAGGCGCGTTCAGACCAAAAGCTTCAAAAAGCTTTTGACGCGCTTCAACTGACGCCGGGATAGTTTTGTCATTTTGGTGCTTGAAGCTTTTGACGCGAGTGACGCGCCTG